ATTCATGCAGGTACTGATAGATGATTCATCTTGCAAACAGATGACATAAGCTTACAGTATGGATAAAGACATACTGTAAATATATTTTCCCTTCCTTATCATTATCTTAACAACCTTTTCTCTAGCTCACTTTACTATAAGGATACAGCATATAACATATACAACACACAAAATATTTGTGAATTGACTGTGTTATAGGTAGGGCTTCTGACCAACAGTGGGTGATTAGTAAAGGCTTGGGAAGCCAAAATTATATATTGATTTTCAACTGCACAAGTGGTTGAAACCCCTATATTGTTAAAGGTCAACTATATATATTTAAAAGGGGGGTAGTGAATGTAGAGAAGTTGCAGGGTACAAGAAGAACACACAAAATTCAGTTGTGTTTCTATACACTAGCAACCAAATCTGAAAAGAAAATTAAAAAATCAATTCCATTTGTTATATATTCTGAGAGTATATACATTACATCTAATATTTATAATATAATCTAAAAGAATGAACTATTCAGGAATAAAGCAAACCAGTGAAGTCAAAGACTTATCTACTTAAAACTACAAAACACTAATGAAAGAAATTAAAGAGCTAAATAAATAGAAATACCTGTTTGTGGATCAGAAGACTTAATACTGTTAAGATGTCCATACTCCCAAATCAATCTACTGATTCAATGTAATCTCAAACAAAATTCCAACAACTGTATTTGCGGAAACAGAAAAACAGGTGCTCAAATTCATATGGATTTGCAAGGAGACCCAATTAGCCAAAATAATGTTGAAAATGAAACATAAAGATGGGAGCATTCCTATCTCATGACTTTGAAAGTTACTACAAAGGCACAGTAAACAAAGCAGTATGGTACCAACATAAGGACAGGCACATAGACCAATGGGACAGGAGAGTCCAGAAATAAACCATCACATCTACAGTCAACTGATTTTTGACAAAGGTACAGGGGGAAGGGACAGTCTTTTCAACAGACAATGCTGGAAAACTGGATCTCCATATACAAAAAAAAAAGACAATGGACCCTTAACTTGTACCATATGATGTAAAAATTAATTCAAAATAGACCCAGACTGAAACTTAAAATCTAGCACTATAAAATTCTTAGGGAAAAAACAACATCAAGGAAACCCTTTATGACATTGGATTTGGCAACAAATTTCATGGATATGACACTAAAGCATAGCCAACAAAAGAAAAAATATAAATTGAATTTCTCAAGATTAAAGACTCAGGCATCAAAGGACACTATCAATTAAGTGAAATGACGACCCACAGAACAGGAGAAAACATTTGTGACTCATAGATCTGACATGGGATTAAAGTACAGAGTATATAAAGAACTCCTACAACTCAGCAACAAAAACAACCAAATTTTAAAAATGGACAAAGGACTTGACCAGGCAGTCCTTAAAAAAATGCTATATAGGACCTCCCCTGGTGGCGCAGCGGTTGAGTGCTGGGCTGCGAAGCTGCCCGCAGCCTTTGCAGCACAGGTTCGATCCCCGGCCACTGGCAAGGGTCCCACATGGCACGCAGACCCCTCCTGCCGTACCCACTGCTCCCCTCAGCAGTGTATTTCTTCAGTCTGCCTGTTCTGTTCCCCGCTCTGGCTCTGGTGAATCCTCTCACCCTCCTGCGCTTCTGACTGTACCCAGTGCTTGTACAAATAAATAAATAAATCTTTAAAAAAAAAAAAAAAGCTATACAGATGGCCAATAAACACATGAAAAGATGCTCACCATCACTAGTCATTAGGGAAATGCAAGTCAAATCCACAATAAAATAGTACTTCATATGTATTCGAGTAACTTTAAAAAATAAGAAAAATAAGCAAAAATGAAGATACCACTTCATACGTATTAACTAGAATAACTATTAAAATATATAGAGATATATATTTTTATATATATATGTAAGAGTAGTTGGTGATGATGTGGAAAAGCCCTGACACATTGTTGATGGGAATGTAAAATGGTGCAGGAAACTGTTTGGTGGTTCCTTGAAAAGTTAAACACAGACTCATTTACCACGTGACCCCGTAATTCTACTTCTAGGAATACACCCCAGGAAACGACAGCAGGGATCTGAATAGGTGTTTGTCGACCAAATATCTATTATTCACAGTAACTAAAAGGAAACACCCCAAGTACCATCAACAGATGAATGCATTTTTTACATGTGTCTATATACACCATAGGATACTATTCAGCTATAAAAAGGAGCAAGACTCTGGCACATGCTCAGCACGGATGGACCTTGAAAGAATCTGGAACAGGCCAGATTCTGAAGGCTGAATATAGTCCGAATCCATTTATAGAAGGCACCTAGAATAGGCAATTGCTCGAGAGGAAGCAGAACAGAGGTGGCAGGGCTGAGGGAGGGGTGACGTAAGGAGAGCTGCTGTGTAACGGGAGATCATAAAACACTAGGTACAGACAACGGTCCCAGCTCTGTGTGTGTACTTGATGCCATTGAATTGTACAATTACAAATGGCTAAAATACTAAATATTATTTTATTATAATTTTTTAATGTGGAGGAAATGGGGGGGCAATAGGAACATAATAAAAAGGAATGAAACAAACCAAAATGTCAGCAGCTGCTATTTTGAGAAAAGAAATCTTTGGGTGGTCTCCTCTTGTCTTTCTTCAACCTCCTCTCTCTATATTCCAAATTTTCTTTCAATTACTCTTTGGATAGAAAAAAAATTATTTTATGTATTTAACACTTTATAGGTTTTGATAGGTACAGAGTTCACTGGTTCAAATTCTTTCTTTCTAGAGGAAAGAGCATTTACAAAGGACTTACTCCAAAAAGGACCTTAAGAAAACAGTCCCCTAAAATGATTTAAAGAAGTCCTTCGCTGCACGGAGGTATAATGTTCTCTTGCCAGGCCACCCCACTTGGCTGGCCTCGGGCCCACGGGACGCCTACCTCCAGTCCAGGGACCGGCCCTTTCTTTATCTGCTTCTCTCCCAGTCCCTGGGCACCGAGTGAGGGGAGGAGAGGCGCCCCAAAGCCCCCCAGAAGGGCAATTTCCTCTGGAAGTATGATGATTAAAGCCCATAATTTGTCCTTCAACCAACAACTTAAAAGAGGAATAGTAATTCAAACATACAAGTGAGACTGTTCCTTAAATCTAACTAACCTAAATAGTTAATATCAAGATACCATTAGAAGCACCTAAAGCTTTCCCAGAAGGTCCCCTTTATATAGACAGTGACATTGTACCGGGTTTTATGCAGGCGTCCAAAGGACCTGTTCTCCCCTTTCTGACAAGTAAATAAAACGGCAGGGAGATCAAATAACTCACTAAAAAGAAGATATAATTTTTTATCTTCCTTTTTACAGTCTCATATCCACTTCCGTTGGGAATAACAAAGTCTGAATTCTTATGCAACACTTATCTAAATGTGTCGATTTTATCGGATTGATGAATTTTGCTAACAAAAGGCAGCGCTAGGAAATCTTTTATGACATATTTGGCCCATTCACAGGGCTGGAGCTTTAATTTAACCAACTTGAGAATTCTGAGGGAGAGCTGCAGGTGTTGGATCTGAAAAAAAAATCATAAATGGGAAGGCATATCAATCTTTATGACAGGGAAACAAAAACACTCTCTACTTGCTTGCCCTCCACAGGCAGGAGAAGGAGAGGTGGAAGTAGCAGGATATTGTCTGGGGCTGCATAGCAAAGAGGAAGCATCGCTGTCTCCCAGTGACCGCTATTTAGTATTGATCAAAAGGCACTGGCCCAGACAGGAAGCGAGGAATTGATGAAACAATGAGGTTTGCCAACACTGTATGCTCAACAAGGACATTTTCTCATTTTCTAGACCATGACAGAATAAGTCATTCCCGAGGCCGCCTGAGCAGCCAGGTGGCTCTCTGTGCCACGGTCCCCACGCCCCTCCCTGTCCAGTGGCACTGCCCCTTTTCTGGCCCCGGGGATGACACCTCGCAGGTATGCTGATTACAGCCGAGCCAATGGCTTGACGAGGCCTGTTGATTCTCCAGTTCAGGATCTCCCTGGGTCACCCTCCACTGCCTCAACTCAGAGCCTTGCGCCTCTTCCTGTCTCCGCTCCCTTCTGGATCTTCATCTCCAAGATATCCTTCTATCCACAGTCAGCCACCTCTGGATGGGAAAGCTTCTTTCAGTCAATCCCCTGCGCAAAACTCTTTAATAAATCCCTACTTTACAAAAAATGAAACTTCATCTCCTCAGCTTGAGATACTACAAAGGTCCTTCATGATCTGGCCTTCCCCAGTCTTCCCTCCAACAGCAATATCCACCCACCCACCCACTGACCCAGTCATCCATCCATCCACTCACCCAGTCACCCATCCATCCAGCAATCCACTACCCACCCACCTGTCCATCTACCCACCCACCCATCCATCCATCCATGACCCACCCACCCCTATCCACTACCCACCCACCTACCCATCCATTCACCCCACTACCCACCCATTTACCCATCCTCCCATCCACCCAACCATTCAGTGTTACAAGCTTCTGTGACAGAAAGATCCAGTCTCCCACCAAAACTCATTTCCCCCTTTCAATGATTGAGTTGAGCTAAGTAGAAGCTACAGGGACACACTTCCAGACTCTCTTGCACTGAGCCATGGCCAAGATTAACAGATAGGACTGAGTCCTCACCCACAGGATGAATGGGAAGAGGGTGTGCTCCTTCCAGGGCTAGGCCCATGCCCCTCTTTGACTACCCAGATAAGACACACCCTACAATGCAGGGGCAACAAGATGGTGGCAGCCTGGGTTTCTGAACAACATGCAGATGACCCCACTGCTCATGTTAGGAAACTTCCTGAAAAGCCTTCTTTACGTTTCTGTACTCTTTGGCCTCTGGCATCAGCACCAAGATCCCACCTCCTAGGACGGAGGCTGACACCTGCCTGCCTGACTCAAGCTCGTGAATTGGAGTGTGCCCCCCATGCCTGTCACGAATGTTCCTCTCTTAGATACCTACTTGGTGTTTTCAAGGGTCTTCAGCATTTTCTTGGTCATTTTATCAATCGCTGCCTGTCTCTTCCCTTCGGCTAAGAGGTCTGTTTTGTTCAGCACCACGACCAGCTTCTGGCAGGCGATCTGCCCAATCACAAGGCACTCCGCTGACTGCGTCTGCATTCCTTTGGTCACATCAATAACCAGCATCATCAGATCAATGATCTGGGCCCCTGAGGGGAGAGAAGAAGAATTAAAAAGGGGAAAGATGAACTCTGCAAAAAATTGCCTGATGACCCAGGGGAACAAAACTGGCCATATTAAAATACTCAGATGAAAGTGGGCAGAGCGGGCAGTAAACACACCTCCTCGCACCAGGCCACAGTCTAGGTGCTTCAACATAAGTGATAGCACTGAAGCCTCCTAACCACCATAAGAGACAGGCTTGTTGCCACATTGGAAATGAGGAAACTGAGGTCTACAAAAGACAGAGCACTGGCTCATGGCAGCAGGAATGGGTAACTGCAAACCCCAGCCTTTCTATCACTCCAGTCCTGAGGTTTTCATTCCACCTATGTGGGAAGAAAATGCCCAAGTGGGATAAAGCTGGCAAAGGCTGAGAGAGTTGCCCTTGTTAAGAAAGAGGCGATAAAGACATGGATCCTGGGGTCTCCTCACAGCACATGTGCTTCGTCCTAGCCCTCTCACTTCACTGGATGGTGTCGCTCACTTCTTTTGTCCAGTCTGCTCAGACTGGGGGGCTCCTGTTCTTTCTAGGATTAAGGGAACCCAATGTTCAGCTACATCAATGCTGAGCACCATGCATGTGTGTGCATGAGTATGCATGTGTGGATGTGTACGGACGTGTGTGCACACGGGCACCTGCTTGTGACAGCGGCCTGAATGCACAGCCACACCTGGGTTGAACAGCAGGTGGGCAAGTTAGAGAATTTGGTGAAGGTAAACTGAGGTAAGTCACGCTCCGAAGACGAATGTCAGCGAAGTGACTGTCCTTTTCATGGGTTTTAAAGTCGTTTCACTCCAAAAAAGATATGATATTGAGGACACAAGAATATGCAAATGTTTTCTCCCTTGCCCCACGAGGGGTTTTCAGGACCAAATCACAGTCACAGAGAGACAGAGGAGGACTGTTTGTGGGTGATGCTCCTGAGCTGCCCCTCCTGTGGGGGAGGTGGGAAGGCAAGTGGAAGGGTTTTCTCGCTGGCACACTCGTTGTGCCACTTCATCTCCACCACCCAGTGCTCCCGACGACGAAGGTAAGACTCAGAGTCACGGGGTCACCTGCTCTAGATCACGCAGCCAGCTGGCACACAGGCCACCACCTCTGTGGGCTTCTGCCTGCTCTCCCGGGAGGTGTCCTAGCCATGCTGACCACCTCCAGGAGAAACAGAAGATGTCACTCACCTTCTCCCCCACTCCTCCCAGCCACAAGCAAACCTGCCGCTGGTCACAGGCCAGGCAGCCTGCTCTGCAGTCAGGCTGGGATGAAGCCTGAAGGAGAAGCCCCGGGGAATCCCTGACCTGTTGTTTTCCCTCAAAGACTGAGTTCTGGCACCAGGCCCAGTGGGCCCCCCACTCTGGTGAACAAAACTGGGCCCACTGAGTCAAGGTTATTCTCCCCGCTGGTTACTTAAGACTTTCGAGAGCAATTCCATCCACCTGACCTTCTCTAGATCTTCAACATCATTCCCTAAGTATTAGTGACCCACCTTCGCAGATGGTGGCCCAGGGAAGCCAGGTGATAGTCCTTGGGCACACAGCAAATATGTGCAGAGAGGGTATCTGGAAGCTGGTGCCTGTTCTGACCCATATGCCACTTGGCCTGCCCTTCCCAATGTGGACCCAGCCCCTCTCCAGCCTCCCCTCTCCCACAACCCCCTACCCACCATGCATGAGGGTCAAGACACCCAGGCTAATTGTTAACCCGTCACTGCCTTGCCCTGGTTCCATGTCCTCTCAGCCCGGAACCCCTGCTCAGACCTCCCTCGCTTTCTGTCTCCCTGCCCAATCACCACCCCCCAAAGCCTGCCACGCTGAGAGCCCACACACAAGGCCTGGGTCTTCAATCTGCATTCAGCAACCAGCACAAGACCCAGCTCGGGCACAGCTTAATCATTCTTTGTTGGAGTGAACAGAGCAAACAATAGCTCCCCCACCTCGTCTGCTTTATTAACCAAGAATCTATTCCTTTTCTCTGAGATTCAATTTCCCATTGGCGTATAAAACTCCCCAGGGGTGCCCTGTCTCGGCCCCGTGGCTGCAGGGGAAGGACTTGTGGAGTCCACATATTCAGCCCATTCACTTCTAATGCCCGCTGAGATCCCGGCATGGACGTGACACTGCACTGACAGACCCAGGAACCTAAGTGCAGACCGGACCCAAACAGAGCCCGTGGGGATTTCCTCTGCGGCCTTACCCCAGCATCTACAAGCAGGCTTTGTTGCAGGGAGCACACGGCTCTGCTCCAAAAGGGCTGGGTTCCCGCGCAGGCCCACTGCAATGCAGCCAACACCAGGCACTTCTAAGGAAACCGGAGGTCACAGCGACTTGGCTGGCCCCGTGTACAAGGAGGGCACTGCTGGCAGCCCGGGGTCAGCGTCAGGCAACTGCCCGCTGACTGGCAGCAGCTCCCAGTGACTCTCGATTCTTCATCAAACTTTTGATCAGGCGACAGGAAGTGACATGCTGGCCCGTCTTGTCTTTTTCAAAATCCCCAGTATTTCCACAGAATGAATCAAACAGTGTCCTTCCCAATTCCCACGAACCCCCCGTAGGAAATCATTCTGAAACTAGAGGGACAGAGCGAGAGAGTGGGTGGGAAACACAAGTCAAAAACTGGCTGCTTACAAACGACCCTCTATATTTTTCAGTCTATCAGAGCTTTTCATCTAGTTGTACTGACTACAGAATCCTTTAAAGGTTTGCAGAATAATTATAAGAGGGTTACAGTTTCTTAGTACCTTTAAATATCACAACTGCCAATTCTGTAGATTATTTATCTTAATCATGTCAACAAGAAAAAAGAAAAATTTATAAAGGTCAGCATTTAACAAAGTATAAGTAATTTATAAATAAAGTTTAATTTATGTTCCTTCTCAAATTGAAGGGGAAAATGTGTATTCAGAAAAAAAGTTTCAGCTGAATAAACCAAACATAAAAATTTAAACATATTTTAGGAACCACAAAATCAGATGTTTATTCAACATTTGATTCTTAATCAAAAGCTATGGACATTGTAAAAAAAGAAAAAATATTAGATTTCAAATAAAGAAAAATTATTTTTAGCTGGTGATTTATTAAATGTCCACCACACAATGTGAATACATTGTTATCAACAACATGAATGTGCAGAAGCAATTTATACCCTGTTACCATTACGATCATTTGGAAATACATGAGTCTCTGCTTGCCTGGGTCCCATCTCTTGCCTCGGTCCCTATCTTCATGGGCACCACCCTGGGCCTAACTGCTGGACTGCAGGGCAGACTCAGGGACTAACATCAGCAGAGAACTCAGAGCAGAGCCCCAGATGCAGAACTCCTCAGCCACTGGGCTGGCGTGACTGCTTCCTTCACCGGCTCCCACTGGGGCACGCACAGCAGTGGTCTGCCTATCTTCATCTCATTTTACTGCAACGCGGCTCTGCAATGTGGGTATCGTGGATGAGAAAGCAAGGGCTCGGAAAGCAGAGGTAACCAAGTCAAGGCAAGGAGCAAGCACTCAGTTGGAGAGATGCAAACTCGGGCCCATCAACTTCTCCACGACAGCACCCTGCATCCCCGAGCAGCAAGAGCTAATGTCCAATAAAATGCCTACTGTGCACATGTGTGTGGGCTTACACGCCAGCCCCTTGTGAGTGCTGCAGGACAGTGGGGTGGGTGTCAGAGGCCTCCCTCGGAGTGCAGTTCTCTGGGGTCAGGGCAAGCAGCCCAGCAGTCCCAAGTCGCCATCATGACTGCTGCTATGTGTGCTCCTTTATTCCAAGGATTTGCTGCCTCCCAATTTTATGGGCAAAAAGAACTAAGGCAGGTTAAATGACTTATCCCAAGCCATGCAGCCAGAGCATGAACTGAGCCCCAGTCTGACTCTGATGCAGGCTCAGCCCTGACTCTGCCAGGAAGGGTCAGGACTTGGATCATACCAGGCCATTCCACACCAAAGGAGAGTTCATTTGTGTGTGCATCAGCTTTGGGCATTTTGGTTTTCCTCTCTCTGCATACTGTTCCTGAAGTCAGGTAAACCTGGTGTTTCCCTCTCAAATTCCTCCTGGTCTAGAAAAGTGCGGGGCTGTGCACCAGTCTGTCCTGCCCTGGCAACACACAACTGAGCATCTGGAAACAGAAGGGGCTTAGGAAAGAGGGCCATTTTACAGTCAGGAACCAAGGGCCACAAGTGGGAAGAAGAACAGCGCGGAGGGGCACGTGGCCAGGCATTCAAATCACAGAGCTCCCAGATGTCCTCCCCTGTAAATCAGAATCTAAACCAAGATGCCCACAACAAAAAGTTGGGGGAATCAGGGCGCATGGCCCCCTGGCCCTTAGTAAGCGGGAACTGCACTTCTACATTTTAAGTGCTCAGCCTGCTGCTCTCCCTGGTCCAGGTAGCCCCGGGAAGACACAAGCGCACAAAGAACTAAGGTCACTGACCAAGTGAGGGCAGCGGGAGGTGAGAGGAGGCCAATGGTAACCTGGGCCCAGCACACAACACCCCCGGCCCAGGCACCCGGCCAGCCCTCTCCTGACCCTCTTCAGGTCCTGCCCCTGCGCCTGGAGAACAACACACCCCCTGGCCGCTGCGCCACCACCACCCACCGTCACTTCAAGTCCGCAGGAGGTGCTCTGAGTCCCACAGGCTAGAGGCCCTGGCCAGGCCCACACCCTCCAATGGGGCCGGGAGGAGGATCCAGGGACACTAACCCTGGTCCTGATCAGACAGTGGTTTTCATGAGCAGCCTCAGATGGTGGAACGTTTCCTAAGCTGCCTGCCCTCCCCGTGCTCCCACTCCGCGCCTCATCTGAAAAACAGGGACAATAACTCCATGTCAGCTTCCACTGACCCAGCTGAAGTCGCAGGCGTGGATACACGAGAGAGAGGCCAGAGGGCTGGTATATTCTGATCTGGGGCACGTGAGCAAGGAAATCCACGGAGAAGGGAAACGCCACACAGCAGGAAGACTGTGGCAGCCGGTCAGGAGGCACATTCCAGTGCCAGG